TTTTTTTTTTTTTTTTTTGAGATAGAGTCTCACTCTGTTGCCTTGGGTAGAGTGCTGTGGCATCATAGCTCACAACAATCTCAAACTCTTGGGCTTGAGCAATCAATCCTCTTGCCTCAGTCTCCTGAGGAGCTGGGACTATAGGTGACTGCCACAATGCCAGGATAGTTTTTCTATTTGTATTAGAGACAGAGTCTTGCCCTTGCTCCAGCTAGTCTTGAACTCCTGAGTTAACTGATCTACCCTCCTTGGTCTCCCAGAGTGCTAGGAGTACAAGTGTGAGCCACTGCACTGGGCCTGAAGCCTAGCTTTAACAGTTGCTCAAAGTTCAAAATTGGGGATTTTGTTTTCTTTGTTGTTAGTTGGATGACCTTGAGCAAGGCATTTGATTTCTCTAGAATTCAGGGCAGCTCCATCAGGCAAGGTAGCTGGAGGCTAGTGAGTTATGCTAATGACTGATGCTTCCTACCTCCTTTTGTCTGGACTTCTTGGTTATCACCTTCAAAGTATAGATTGTTCATTAATAACTTCATTATCTGGGGACTCTCCCTATGTCTTCCCTTATGTCTGTTGCTCTCTATTTGCACTGTTCCTTCCCTTGGAGGACGGTTGCCTTTTTCTGCAGATCTGGGTTCCACTATTGTCTAGGTGGCAGCAGAGCAGTGTCCCAAAAACTTGGCTCAGGAGCAGGTTATATTTGCGTTCAATCTTTGTTCCCACACTCACTATAGAACCTAGGATACTATAGCTAAGGTTTTCTAGGGATTAAATGAAATAACATATACAAAATGTTTATGAATATTAGAAGCCCAATATATGCTAGCTACTATGATCAGCAATCTAATTGCCAAGTCCTGTTCCCCTTTCCTATATCTCACTATCTACAATGACTTTGACATATCAGATATGGAGACAGCCCCTTCCTTGAGACCCTCTCTCCTTCCTTCTTGTCAGTACACCATTCTTTGGATATTCTTATTATCTCCCTTTTCCTTGCTGTTACCCTTCACAAGTGTGGCTGATTTATTCAAGTAGGCTTACTGTGTGTCTTTCTTACCTCATGACTGACAGGATGAAAATCCAGTGTCTTTATCCAGACAGAGAAATGGGAGAAGGTTGAAAGCATTAACACACTCTTCTACTAAATACTGTTTACTACAAAAGGCAGTTGCTCAAAGTTCAGGAGGAGGGTTTTGCCCACTTTACAAATTAATGATTGAGTAAATGAACAGGAGTGAGAACTTCCAGCTGAAGTCTGTGGAGATAAATTTCTACACACTTCACACTTCTGCTGGTTTGATATTTATGCAGCAACCAGAGGGAAATGGACCATGAAAGGAATTGACAAAAATCACAAGGTCTTACTATGGACTTGAGACTTAGAATAATTATTTGCAAACTTTTTTTTCTTCAAGAAGCCCCACACTCATAGGTAGCCATGACTCTCATTTTAAGATCCATCTTTAAGCCAATAAAGACAAAATCCTCAATATTGAGGTGGTGCTTATTGGATGTAAAAATACCACTGTTTCCAAAAGCATTCAAAGTATTTCTCTATTCAGGGTGTTGAGGACATTTGGAGTAACTGATCACTAGACCAGTTTAAAGCTTGGAAAGCCACAAGAGCAACCTCTTTTCACTTTGTTTATTATTGATTAGTTAAGCAAAGATGCTATGAATACATGGTATTAATCTGAGGATTTAAATCAGATAAATGGGTCAAGGATTTCAAGAGTAATAAACGCTTAAAGAACTGTTTTGAAGAATAAGAGAAATTAGCTAGATAAAACAAGATTAGATAGACAAAATACTTTTATGGAGGGAAAAAAACATACATAAAAAAAGGCTTGATCTAGTTGGGGAAACCATGGGTAATTCTATAATTTCCTAGGAAAGGTTTATTTATCAGATTAAGTATTTCTGTTACTGGGACAAAGGTTAGGTGATAAGGAGAGAAGTACTAGTTTCCTTAAATTTTCCTTCCTGGGACCATGTTTTAACTTACATTATTGGATAATACTATGGCTAATTAGAGCTATTAGAGCTAAACATTTACTAAAATGAAGGGTGAAATCTTCAATTATTAAAAAAACAAAATCCAAATATTGAACATTTCTTGTTGGCCATGGTATGTTTGCTCATCAAGACTGGAATTGCCAGTAAAACCTGGGATTTTTAGTTCCTTTAGCATACTTCTCTGGACCCTTTATAGTTCAGACCTCATGTTTGTATATATTCATTAAAAGTCCTATATTTATCATGGTTTATTAAAAGTATGTGTGTGTATGTGTGTGTATGTCTGCATGATTTCATTAATCTCTGTCTCTCTCACTAGACTCCAGTTCCAGGAAAGCAGGCTTAATCATTTTTCTCTCTGCTCTAACCTGAGTTTCTAGCATAATGTCTAATACAGAATAGAGGCTCAATGAAGATACGTTGTACTGCTGTACAGTAGTTATTACTGTCCTCACTTTGGCTGCTAGAATTTTGTCTCTATTGAGCAATCAGGAATTGTGTTTTGAGGAGGAAAAGCTGTGGCCATTTGGGCTAGCTAGCCAACCTGGCCTGGTCAAATGAGAGGTTGAGAGCCACTAAGGAATTCAGAGCATTCTGAGCACCAAATGCTGAGTAAGAGGCTGACACTTAGAACAGGAGCTTTCAGTTGATGTCTGGAATGGAAAGAGTAGTAAGTTCTTTCCAAAGGACATGAGCGAGGGTAAGCATGCAGGACCAGATACATAATTCCCAAAGCCAAGTACAAAAGGAAAATGCTGCTGGTTATTATTTTTTTAAGAAGTTCAAGATGGAAATATCAAGAGAATTAAACCAAATGCATGGCCGTGTGCAGCTATACAGGTTGCACACCTTTGAAGCTAGTCTCCCAAACAATTACAGTTCATTAAGAAAATCTGAACATACATTTACAATTTTCTGTTCAAAAATTGAGGAGGGAGGTTTGTGTTAATAGAAGGAAAGATGCTTTTAAATACCTAGGTGTTTTTCCTTAACCTACATGTTAAGGTTGTGTCCTCAAAAGAAACTGGAAACTAGTCCCTTTATCCAATGGAACTAACTCTCCATGTGTATTTCCAAAAGATTTAATAAGACACACTGGTTTGCCCCTCTGAATAGTCCTGACCTCCTAGCTATACTGCAACATCCAACCACTCTTTAGCCTCTAGGACTTGGCCTACATTTGACGCTCCACAGTTCAAAAAGCATAGATTTTGAAGCCAGTTTTAAATCCCAGTTCCACAAATTATAGTGTAGTAACTAAAAGCAGATTACTCAGCCTTCCTAAAACCTCAATTTCCTCATCTATAAAACAGAAGTAATAGTACGTAGACACACATATAGCATGGCCGTTGGTATTGAATAAGAGGAAAAGTGTAAAAGGCTCAGCAACATCAGTGCAGGACAAAGGAAAAACAGGTGTCCAGACACAGCGTGCGCTACCTCTCTGCTTTAGATCGGAGCTGAATGGAAGAAGTGCAGTGCCCATGGGTCAGGGAACCCCGCTCTGATCCCTGCTCTCTGTCACTGAGTGAGCCCTGTTAACAGCTAAGTCACTGTCTCTCTCAGAGTCACTATTTCTAGGGGATGGGGATTGAGGGAGTGGTTGCAGGCGGGCCTCCCTGGCTGCACACTTCACAGGTTTTCTTTTCTTTAGGAATTGATCTGAATTTTCACTATCCTTCCTAAGGAATCATCCTTGACCCGGTGTGGGTGCACATCTAGCCTCCCCCAGAGATTTCCAAGGGCGCTGGCCCCCGCCTGTTCTCACTACCCCGGGGTTGGCCACGGAGCCCCGCCCCGTGCTGCCTCTCCGCCTCCCTCTTCCTTGGGCGCGCGAGCTGGAGCCCACTTGTCCGCTGCCGGGTGGCAGTCACGACTGAGAGGTTGCAGGCGCGGTGGCCGCGCGTGCGGCGGGGCGGAGCAGGGCGAGCTTGCTCTCCCCGCAGCCCGCAGAAGTGCCTGGGAGGTGGGCAGGGACCGGCGGAGTCCAGGCCAGAGGAGGGCACGTAGGCGCCTCCGGGAGGATGGATGTCCCCGGGACCTGGAGCTGAGTAACCTAGAGCACCGCGGGCAGGGCGCGCCGCAGGAAAGCAGTCCCTCGCTGTTCCTCCGGGAGCCCAACACCGTTCCCGCGCGGCCACGATGATCCCTCCGAGCAGCCCCCGGGAGGACGGCGTGGACGGGCTGCCCAAGGAGGCGGCGAGCGCCGACCAGCCGCCCTCTCCGGCATCCACCAGCAGCCAGGAATCCAAGGTACCTCGCGCACACTTGCCCCAAGAGAACACAAACTCACTCTCCTCTTTTCTGTCTGCCCACCTTTGTCTCCTCTGATCTGGCGCTGGCGCCGGGGTTGAGACGCGTCTCTAGTTTAGCCAGGGCTCAAGGACTGTCTGTCCCTCCCTGGAGACCTGAACGTCCGGCAGGACCCGCCGCTAATGATGCTGGACCACGTCCCTGTGGACCCAGCCTTCTCACCAAGACACAGACACACACACACAATTCATGTTGAAGCCAGATTCAGAGATCAGTTTCTTGTGGGGTGGGGGCTTGGTTGTGCTGTGCTTTGAACCTGCTTGTGCCCCAAGCGCGTGCGGGTATAGGCAGTTTCTGAAAGCGGAAGGATGGAGACAGCTGAGGGATAAGCTTGGAAAAACTTGGGCATTGGACTAGCAAAGGTGTCCGTATCCCAAGAGTCTCAGAGACCCTTTGCTTGGCAGGTCTCATCTCTAACTAACTTCAGATACCCCTGGTTTAAAAAAAAAAAAAAAAAGCCTAGTCAAAAGGAAGTAACTACATTTGCCTGAAAGTTGATGCTCCTCTTGGGGAAGTTAATACTGTAAAGAACTTATACTTGCGTTTATGAAAGTTACACTGGCACATTTACACTGACCAACTCCGCAGCACTTCTGTCACTCTTAGGCTTCCTCAGAAACTCTCCTGGGTTGCCACACATGTTTGGAAACCTTGGGAGAGGATGAAGTAAAATGTGGCTGGTAGCCGTGCAATACCAAAAGGCAACTCAACTGGGAGTGAAAATCCTAAGACGGAGTTTGGTGTTATATGGATTCTTTTAAATGCAGGGCTCCTGACTCTGATTTCTTTGTGAGTTCCCCAGGCATTTTTGGAATGTGAGGCAGTCCCTGTATAGTCAGTAGCAAAGGAAAAAGGGAATGCCAGTTTGGAAGGCAAGTCAGATGGGGCAGAGAAAAGTGCAGTCCTGGTTCCCTTCACCCACATCCCTGGCAGCCCTTGACAAAAATCAGAGCTTTAGTGGCTCTGGAGATTTGGTGTGATGGTGAGGACTGTACATATCCTGGCTTCCTGAAGATAACCATATAAGACAGAAAGCTTTGTAATTTATTTTAATTTTTTGTGCTAATTACCGGCTGCCAGCCCTGGGTTATGTGTGACAGCTTTTCTAAAACTCAGTTGCAAATGAGGGCAAAAGTCCCCACCTTCTAGGATCACTGTGAAGAATACATGAGATGCCCTAATGTCCATTCTGGGTACAAGTGTTAGGACACAGTCATGCAGCCAAACTGTATCTTTTCCCTTCCTGAGATATGGAGATGGAATCCATGTCATCTCAGACGATCTACTCCAAAGCAGTCTCATGTCCCACACACATGCACTACCTTTCCTCTATCCTCAAGTTTCTGGGTATCTCATTATTGTCTTCCATCAGTTCGCAAAGTGACATGGGTTAGTGGTCATTTCAAAAGCAGTATAGAATTCCATAAATGAGTGTCGCTAAACTCAAGAGGTGAAGCTGATGTTCAACTTTTTGAATCAGGCCTATTGCTCTGCAGTAAGTGTCTTCTAGAAAGAGCTTAGCATTTGAGTAAGCAGCAGCATGGTTCAAACACACTGTATAGATTTTCTATTTATAGATGTCCTAATGTAAATTATTTGGCAAAGCACAACCTCATATGTAATTCCCATAATTATCTACTCATTTATCTGGCTTACAGTTTCAGATTTGTACAAGTCAATTGTTCAGAAGGTGGTCTACACACCTGATGTGTGTTTATACATTCCTAAATGTGTTGTCATGGCGTTGGTGTTCTTAATCAATGCAGAAAAGCTATGGGTGCCCACGAACCCTAGGGAATTGACTGCAAAATAGTGTGCCTGAATGTGAGTTTTTCTTAGCATATCATTCATGGTAGTCTCAAAGGGATCCATGTTCCTATAAAAGGCTAACCTGCTGGTACCGGGGGGGGGGGGGGGGGGGCGTGTAATAAGGAAGAGGGTGGCATGAAAAAGAAGAAGAGGAAGGCTCTATTTATTCTACCTCAGGAAGGCTGCATGTTGAAGCTCACTGGCATTTACAAGGATCTTCCACCCTAAACGTGGGAACCTGGTGAAGAAAATGTGAACTGGATAGTAGTAATCATTCCAGCTTACTCTCCCATGAAGTGGTTTTGTTTGTAAAATACCTCATGGGACAAACATAGTTCAGGCCCCTCTAGGCATTAAACTTTTTCAGGAAGACTTTCAGAATTACCATTTCAGAAGAACTTCTTTTTCTCTGATTATAAGAATAACAAATACTCTTTGTAGATACTTGAAACATCCAGATGAAAAATGACAAAAAGAAAAAGAAACCCATTTGTTTCACAATCCAGAGGCAACTATTGACAGCATTTTGATTTATATCTTACATATTTTTTTCACCAATTTTTACTTTTCCATAGTTGAGAGAACAGTAGTGAGCGTCTGCTGAATGCTTACTGTGAGTCGGGCACAATCCGAATCTTCACAGTAGAAAATTCTGTCATTTCCACTTATGGATAGAGAAGCAAAAGATGAGAAAGTTTAGGTGACCTACCCAAGACCACACAGCTAGTTGAGTGACACAGACAGGACAGGGACCGAGTTGCCAGAGCCACCATACAACTATCTCTCTCTCTCGTGCTTGTGGACGGTTTTACATCTTCCCTTCTCGTCTGATGTCCTAAGTGTTTTACACACCGCTAAACATCTTCTGCAATATTGAATGTGTCTTCCATCTAAGAAATTTTTGAAAATAAATTGAGACACATTATTATGTGAAAGATTAGTGTCCAATTCTTTTCCACTTTTTTCTGCATTTCATTTTGCTACTCTTTCCCCAAAGTATATTTATAGAAGAAATTAAATGGAATGTCATAATCATGTGGACAACGGGGCACAACAGGCTCTCTAGCCCAGAGGGTTTATTAGGAGAAAATGATGATCCAATGTCCTGAACACTTAAAATGTTACCAGATATCCATATTCTTTGCAGATACTTTGAAATGCTAAATCACAGAATATTACTCATAGAATTGGAAACATTAGAGGTCTTCTATACTGGTTATTTTTTAAATTATTCATCATGTTTATTGTGAAAGTTATTTTATTCTGGAAAATTTCAGTATACACAAAAGTAGAGAAAATAAAATTTCAGTATACACAAAAGAAAGTAGTATAAAGAACTATCATGAATTTAATCTCCTAGCATTACTAATTATCCATCATGGACAGCATAGTTTTATATTTACTCCCCCTTCTTCACTTCTCCTCCCTGCACATACTAATTTAAAGGAAATTCCAGATATGAAATAAGTTCACCCATAAATATACTATAAACTTGCATCTCTAAGAGATAAGGATTATTTTTTAAAACACGACTATGATGCCATTAGCACATTATTCTGGGTGTTTTTAATCAAGCATGGGATATATTCTTTGGAGGCCCATGGATGGGTTTTGGAAAATCTGTGAATAATCAGAACTAGCACTTCAAGTACATGTACATATGCATCATCTAGGGGAGAGATTCACAGCTTATTTCTGATTCATAAAGGGTCTACACTTATTTTAATATCCTTTTTTATTTCACTCTTTAGAGTATTGAGGCCCAGAGAAAGGCAGTGACTCACCCGAAATCACAGATAGTAACTGGCAATATCCACATCTAGGAAGCCTATCCTGAACTTTGCATTTCCCACTACAGTTTCCTCAGAGCAAATTCCTGTAAGCACAAGTAGTAATATAGCTTAATGTGATCGTAGCTTTTATAATAATTTTTATGAAGTTAGTTCAATTGAAAAAATTTGAAAGCCACTAATATAACTTACTGCTATATATTTCCACTAATTATTCCAGAAGGATAACAACCACAACCTAATTTATTTTCCAAGTGCTTGACAGAAACCGTTGAATACACAGAAAAATTACTCTGTAACCAGGTTGCTTAGGAGGACAAGCCTAACAAGTTGCCTCAACTTCACTGTCTCTAGAATGGTAATGTTGGTATCCAACTGATGAGGTTTTGTGTAAGGCCTAAGAATATGTAAAACAGCTCTCATGTTGTAAGCATATACTTGCGTAAAGCACTATCTATTCCCAGTACATATTTCAAATTGGGTTACTGTTACCAGTAGCCAACTCTAAATGTCATCCCTGGAATAATTTCAGTAACCTCAACTGACATTCCAATAGTATAACTGAATTTTCCTTTTCAGACTTTTAGTTATGCTATTGAATACAGTAAGATTTTATCTCAGCTATTTTTCATTCTCAAGAAGATAGGCGAGAGGCCACTGGCATTTACTTAGATTTCAAAAGGGTGATATAAGCCACTCAGTGCCCCCAATGGAGCCTTGGACCAACATGCCTCTCATTCCTGGATGGTTCCCTCTGAATCTGGACTGTGATCTAACCTAGGAAAAAGAAATCTCTAACCATGAGGACACATCTTGAATCCCCCAGAAGGGTTTCTGTGTCCACTTATCAGCAACTATTCACTGAGCTCCAGCTTTGCGCCTGGCACATCTCATACATATACGTAAAACTATCCTTGATAAGGAATTTAACTCTCCTCAGGGGAGAAGACAAAAGAAAATAGAATCTTGGCTTTACATTGAAATCCCCTAGGGAACCCAGGCCCTAGGCTGGACCTACTAAATTAAAATCTCTGAGAAAGGATCCCAAGCAAATGTTATTTTTTAAAGCTTTCCTGGGGATTTATTTTCTAGCCAAATTTGAGAAACATAAGGATTATAGGATGTCAAGGAAAGGAAGATTTGTGCCTTTCTATTGGTTTCTTTCCCTTCCATCCAAAGTACTCAAGAAATCATTCTCTTTTTCACTTCCCATTTACATGCAAACCCCAAGAAAAGGCTCTAGCAAAGGTGACTTGCTTATTGCCCAAGTAATTTTGAGTGTTATTCACATGGAGCTAGATTTACAAGGTTGACTATGTCCCTATTTAAATTATTATCATG